AAATTGTTTCCACCCAAACAAAGAAGAAGAATCAAAGTAAATAAGATTTACTAATTCTAGAAACATCTTTCGGGGGCAACTAATCATGTTTGGTTTTCTTTGTAAAATATTAGTTCTTACAAAGAACTTGCTATCAAGGACTACACGATGAAAGTGAGAATACCGCGAGGGTATCAACAAAAGTAGTGGGAGAAGTTAGACTTTATTTTGGAAATAATAAACATCTTGTTGTGAACACTGTTTATTTCCTTTCAGGCATAAAGAGAAATTTGAATTTTGTTTTCAAATTATTTGAACAATTATAAAAGTTGCTTTTAATAATAATTTACTCCACAAAATTTCAGAATGGTTTCAATATTTATTCTAAAAAATGGAAAACGATTTATACTTATTAAGCTGATGCCTAACTCATTGCTTAACACTGAAATGTTCAAGGTTGCCAAACCAAAGAATAATAAGCAAAAGATTTCTCACGATAATAACTCATATCTGTGGCATCTTAGGCTTGTTTATATTAACCTATACTCGATTGAAAGACTAGAAAAGGATGGTTCTTTATGCGAATTAAAAGTTGGTGAGCTTCTGGTCTATGAGTCTTGTCTGGAAGGCAAAATGACTACGAGGCCTTTGACAGCGAAAGGAGAACGAGCCATAGAACCTCTTCAACTGATACATTCGGATGTATGTGGACCATTAAACGGCCAAGCTAGAGGAGGTTACAAGTATTTTGTCACTTTTATTGATGATTATTCGATATATGGTTATGTTTACCTAACATAACAGAAATCTGAAACTTTTGAAAAGTTTAGAGAATTTTGAGCATAAGTTGAAGAACAGTTAGTAAACCAATCAATATACGTTGATCGAATTGAGGGGGTGACTATCTGGACTAAGAGTTCATGGATTACTTGATTGAAAAAGGTGTGTTATCACAATAGACAATACCTGACACACCACAGCAGAATGGTGTTACTGAAAGGAGAAAGCAGACTTTACTACACATGATAAGATCAATGTTGAGTTATTCTTTAGTGTCTACTTCATTCTAGGGATATGCCCTCAAGACTGCAGTGTATATTTTGAACTTGATACCATCTAAGTCTATACCTAAGATGCCTCTAGAGTTCTGGAATGGTCAAAAACCTAGTTTGAGACACATTCGCATTTAGGGGTGTCCATCACACGTCCAGAGGCAAAAGGCTGGGAAGTTGGAAATGAGGACAAAAGTATACATCTTCGTGGAATACCGACAAGGGATAAGAGGAGGACTATTTTATAGTCGGGAAGATTAAAAGGTATTTGTGTCGAGAAATGTCACGTTTCTAGAGCATGACTATATGATAGATTTCAAGCCCAGAAGCAAAGTAGTACTAAAGGAGTTAATTTTCAATGAGATCGGAGCACAAACGGTAAGAGTTGTCAGAACATCAAGAGATACACCACAATCCTAATCAAACTCATGTGGCACCTCGTTGTAGTGGGAGACTAAGCAAGTTACCTGACTGGTATACCGGGGAAGTACATATTGTCACTGTTGATGACGGTAAGAATGATCCATTGATATTTAAGGCTGCGATGGATGATTCTAATAAGGAAATATGGCAAGCAGCTATGAAACTCGAGATGGAGTCCATGTACACCAACTCAATTTGGCAACTTGTATATCTACCCGGAAGGGTAAAACCCATTAGATGCAAGTGGATCATCAAGAAAAATAGAAAAGTGGATGGAAAAGTGGAGACTTATAAAGCAAGGCTAGTGGCTAAAGATTACACTCAAAAAGAGGGAGTTGACTATGAGGAAACTTTCTCATCGGTAGCCATGCTTAAGTCCATTCAGATACTTCCGACCACAGCAGCATATTTTGAATATGAGATATGACAGATGGATGTCAAGACAGATTTTTTGAGTGTATGAGGAAAGTGATGTAGTATATCCTTCAGTGCATCAGGAAAGCAAGAAACTATAAGATAGTTTAGTAAGTGAAAGAGTTGTCTTTTAGCTGGATGTACAGACTTTGACTATAAGTCATGCGTGGATTTTGAGAGTCGACATCCAAATCTGTGTTCACACTAGGTGAATGAGTCATGATACGAAAGGTTGTTGGCAAAGTGTGATTGCTAATTCTATCATTAAGAGTTAATGTGTTGCAGCTTATGAACCAGCAAAGGAAACCGACCTGACTCCATAAATTCTTAACTGATATTGAAGTTGTTCCAAGGATAGAAATTCTTAATTGATCTGGAATGGTGTCTTAGAAGTATGAGATGTAATAGGATATTTATTATTTATTTAATAAAAGAGTTTATTCACTATTTTTGCGCATAAATTAATGAATATTTTATGAATATCAGTGAAAATTCTATGATTATTTATGTGACTTTAAATATTGTATGTAAGTGCTATATGAAAGAGGATAATATTTAAGGATAGTAATCAAAATGATGTTCGTACTGAATTTAATAAAACTTTAGAATCTTTAATTAAAACATTACTAATGCAGGTCATTCCTATTTAGTATGGAATAGTGATATCCACACTGTTAATATGGCGAGATATTGAATGAGTACATTACATATAATGAGATTATGCGGAACAGAGACACAAACACAATATGAATTTCTAATAATTTTCATTAAGTATAGAATTCTAATTGAGTCTACCGATGGTCATATATAGAATGATCTTAATCCCAAGTTCTTAGCAGACTTCCCAAGTTCTTAGCAGACTTTTATTTATGGATTTGTGTCTTTTGATTTACACGGTACAGATTCTGAGATCCTGAATCCTATTCCTTGTATTTTGGAGACATGATGAAGTAGGTAGTTGGGAATGTTATTATACGAGAAGAAATCCATTCCTTCTTAAGAAAAAAGTAGATAAATAATTCTTTTGAGGGTTGATTCGGTACTTGGACCAGTAGGCGCTCCGATTGATGAATTTGTTTTATGAATCACTATCCATTAGAGAATCAATAGTACTTAAGGATAAAGATGTAATTAAAGAGGTTAACGGATTTCACCTAGCTCTAATTATGAATTATTTATGGGGGATTGATCTATATGCAATGACTATATCATATGGACACTTCACAGTTTAGAAGTAATTTATGTCTTTAATTACGAGAGTACAATTCTAAGTTTATAGTGGGATAACTATTAGAATTAATAGAATTAATTAATTAATTAAAGTGTTTAATTAATTATTAATTTTGTTGGAGGTCAAAATTTTAGGTCCATGAGTCCCCACGTCGTCCATGTAATTCTACAAGACACTAAGGGCAAAATGAGAATTTTAGAAGTATGGAATTCTAAAATAAAACACTCAAGGTTAATTAATTGAGAATTAATTATAAATTAAATAATGTGATTATTTAAGTTTAAGTTTTAATTTGAATTCTGAAACACACATGTGAATGTGTGTTAATTGGTAAGTTGTTCAATTTGAAATTCAAATTAATTTAAGTTTAACTTAAATTGAAATTTGAATTTGATTCAAAATTGGAATGTTGGATAAATGTAAAATCTTGCCATATTCCCTTGTAGATATGCGCCTACCACAGGGAGGGGATATCCCTGTGGTGGCCGGCCCTATTGGATAAGGGAGAGAGTATTTTGTTTCAAAATCAAATTTAAAGTGGGAGATAATTAATAAGCTTTATCTTGAAGATAAAGATAAGACTCCATCTGGGAGTCTGATTGTTACTCTATAAAATAAGAGATTATAGAAAATTATGAGACATAATTTTTTGCTCTCCCTAGCTATAGTAGCTGAATTTTATAGAGTGAGAAATAGGTAAATTTTCTCTAAAGAATTCAACGTCGTGCATGTGTTGGTATTCATAGAAATCTTGAGTGTTCTTGCTAATCCCATTTTATTTTAGGTGTGCCCACACACACGTCTTTGTAGATTCAAAGAATTGACGAGGAAGATTCAATTTTTCTAAACTAGCATTGGAGTAAGAAACGTTCGAGGTCAAAGAACACAGTTATCATCTTGATCGATTGCTAGGTATAATTCCTAATCCGGTTCTTAGTAAATAAATTAATGCGATTAATTTATTTGTGCATAAATTAATACAATTTATAGAGTATCTCAAAAGTTTTATGAAAAGTTTTATTCTACACGATCTGCTATTCACACGCTTCGAAAACCAACATATTCCACTAAAGAAAGCACCCAATTAAAGCTTGAGACATGGCATAAAGGAAGACAAAATAACTTAACTAAAACTTTGAATAGTAATTTGTGTCTAAATAAATAGTAATTTGTGTTTACATGAATACTAATTTGTGTTTACGTGAATAGTAAGTGCATTCCCTTTTAATATATAGTTATAGATAGATTCATACCACCTTGATTTTGACATGTGAAATTGACCAAATTAACCTTAGTGAGGGATTGTATAATGACACATATACTTGTTGTCAAATAGATTCGTTTAGTTCGTTGGTTCGAATTGTGTTGCTTTGAACTTTTTTGTTTGAATATAAAAATTTGATCTGTATGGTTTAAACTGTAGTCCAATTGGCATTTGGATGTGCAGTTAAAGTTTAAATCTAAACAAGGAATAAAATCTGAATTTGTGTTTAGTTGGTGTAAAAAGCAGAGAGAATGAACATTTTTTACTATTAAAAAATGATTTGAAATATTGAAAGGGAAGGGGAGTTAAGCTTTAAATTGGACAGTTTAACTTAATTTGAACGGTGAATATATTTCAAACTGCATGCTTACTAAACATGATTTTAAACTTAATTCACAGTTTAAACTAAATTGAATTGAGCCGAACAAGTAAATCAAAAAGGCCAATAGTTTTGAGTATGTTGAGAAAAAAATAATAAAAAAAAAACCTTATTAAAAACCCAAAACGCAGCGTTTTCTATTCTAACAGCCTGCTTCGAACCTTATCATGACATCATCCCTCATTTGATTTGCTTCAATCTTGCTTGCACTTCATTATTCCACTCGAAAAAAAACCACGACCATGGAGCCAACCATTTTCAGTCATTCTACTATTTAGACAACAAAAGAATGGCCTCTGGATGCTTACCATAAAAACAACAACAACAACAAAAGAATAGCCTCCCAGTGCTTGATTTCTTTTCGCAAATTCAAATCTTTGCAAAATACGATATTCACATCTCCTATTCTTGAATATCATCGTTTGTGGTGTTGCTGCTGCAAGAAGAATAAGACTCGGATTCCATCTGCAAAATTTCAAGTCTTTTCAGGAAAATAATTCAAACAGTATGTCTGCACAAAGAACTTAATAGATAGCCAGATTTTTCTTTCGTGAAAAAACAGACCAAAAATTACCATCTCTCTGGATGGAGGTCCTTCCAAGTTCTCGAGTACGTCTCTCTCTCTCTACAATTTATTTGCAAATGTTCATTTCTCCATGTGTTTGGTTTCCTAGAAAATTCGAGAAATTGCAAAGAGAACAAGGTTCTGGTCTTGTATTATTTGTTATTTTTCTTTTTGCTGACGAGAAGTTAGTTTTGGAGTAAAATAAGAGGGATTATTTAGCTCAATTTAGTTTGATTTATGGACAGTTTCGGTGATTTTCACACTTATATAGCTCCTTCCAAGCTTATTATCAAGCATTACTTTTTTTTTCAGTAATTTTTATTTGGGTACTGAATCCATGTTATGAAAGTATAATGATGATTCTAGCTTAGCCACTCATTTATGATAATACCTTTTTTATTATTATTTTTCATTTTTGTTGCTTATGTTTAGCTCTAAATGTTCACCAAATGATATCAAACTATATTATTGTTACAAGAAAAAAAAAAACTATATTAGTTATATGCCTTTTGCTCTTTCTTTTTTATTTTATTTTATTTTATTATAAGTAAACAAATGTAATTGTCTAGCATGTAGAATTTTGTGATTGGGTTTCCAGCCAAAAACAAAGAAAAAAGGTGATTGGTCGGTCAGCTTTCCTAGATAATTGATGTATGGAAGTGGCTTGTGGGTCCTGAATCAAAACGACAAGCCTTTTGATGGGATTTTGAAAATAGTCATCCTCTTTCGCAGGTTTTACCGTGGAAATATTGCCCTGCAAAATTTTTAAAGAATGAATTGCAAGTTTCTTTGAGGTGTGTAAGGACGGAATGCGGTATTAGAACAAGGAATGGTAGTGATAGAAAGGGAGCTTCTAAACGGAATATCTTGGTTCAGCCGTTTTGGAATCTGAGTAGAAACTTTTCTGCTAAATTTGGTTTGTTTTCAATAAGCTACAGATTCATTCCTAAATTGAGCAAATATCGTGGGATTCCCCATCAGAAGATAAACTTTTCAGAAGAGATCAGACAGAAAGTATATGTTCCTCTCGTCCGGTTAGTTGTTGGAGTGATGCTGGTCATGTCACTTTCGGTTGCTATTAGCAAGAGTACATCTTGTAAGTTCATTTTGTTATGAATTGGTGACGGGAATTTCTGGTCTCTAACGATATGAGATTTACTATTCTGCTTTACTTGTACTTATACCAGGGGCCTTATCTGAGGAAAATCTACTCTTCTTGGAGGCATGGAGAACAATAGACCGTGCATATGTTGACAAATCCTTTAACGGACAGAGTTGGTTTCGTTACAGAGAAAATGCACTACGCAATGAACCAATGAACACGCGAGAAGAAACGTGTAATCCTTCTGTCGTTTCTTATAAGTCAAATACAGAATAAGGCTCTACGTGGCGATTTTGAAGTTAATTCTGAAACAACAGTTGATCAGCATGTGGCTTTTATTGATGGGATTTTCTTTATGTGTTACTTTGACTAAGATGTGTGGTAGCAGTTTACTTCCTTCCAGTTCCTGATCGTGCATGTTCATGCAGATGTGGCAATAAAGAAGATGCTTGCTACACTTGATGATCCTTTCACTAGGTTTTTGGAGCCCGAGAAGTTCAAAAGTTTGCGGGTACTAGGCTGTGTTTTTCTGAAATTTCTCGTCTATCTTAGATTGTTATATTTTTCTAACTTTGTTTGCCTAAGATGCACTCTTATGCACCATGTCAATCAAAAATATTTAAAGAGCCATTTAGACATAGCATTGTTTACGTCATTGGATTCGTTAGAAATGTTCTCCCTAAATCAGTCAATATCTTCTTTGAAGGCAGTCTGGAACTCAAGGTGCTCTTACAGGTGTTGGGCTGTCAATTGGTTACCCTACAAAACTTGATGACTCTTCTGCTGGGCTTGTTGTTGTCTCAGCTGCCCCAGGAGGTCCTGCAAATAGAGCTGGTATTTCTTCCGGCGATATTATTCTGGCAATTGATGATACAAGTACTGAAACAATGGGCATCTACGATGCAGCTGACAGATTGCAGTAAGTTTTTTCTTTACCAACTGCATAACTGTTGAATCAGCCTCTCAATCAGGATAATTATTAGTTATATTTACTGGTCCCTATATTCATTGAAGCTAATACTTTAGTTATTCGTTATGTTTAATTGCACCTATTCTCTTAAACAGGGGACCTGAAGGTAGTTCGGTGAAGTTGACCATTCGTAGCGGACCTGAAATAAAGAACCTGGACTTGGTGTAAGGTTTTATCTTTCTCTTGAGGAATGATGTACTATCAAAGACCTATTTAATTTTAATGATCACATTTTTAAATGTGCTTCTGAGATATACCATCTACTCCTTAAGTGATTGGAGTTCAGATGGCCTTATATAAAGCATAATATTTCTATGGTGACTTGAGCAAATGCTGAAGTTTTGAGTTCGTTATTATCTTGGAGACAATCTGTATTCGGAATTTTTGTTTTATCTCTGAGTTGTTTAGGCGAGAGAAGGTTTCATTCAACCCAGTGAAGTCAAGACTTTGCAAGTTATCCGGTTCAGGAAAGGATTCCTCTAAGATTGGTTATATAAAACTCACATCATTCAATCAAAATGCATCAGGTAATATTCTCAAATACTTGTTTCTGCCAATTCTGATGGTTAGTCAATCGTTTTTTTGGAGTTTGGCCTACTTTCATCCGAAGGCTTCCACATGGTTGTGTCATTTTATTTTTCAATCGTAACTGTATACTCAAAGCTGCAGGGAGCCAAATTTCAAATTTTCTTAGATTGATTCATGCGTTCTCTATCAGTTTGCTTGGTTTTTACATACTGGTCCTCCGTTACCTCTGGAACTTAGTTTGTCTTGAATTCCTGACGTGACTAGATTTCTTCGGCTAGCTCTGATAACTTGCGTCCTGTGCAGGGGCTGTCAAGGAAGCAATTGATACTTTAAGAAAAAGTGGTGTCAACGCCTTTGTGTTGGACCTTCGAGATAATAGGTGATTGATTGCTTCTCAACCTTGGTACATTTTAAACTTTGCCCTTTTGTACGCTTTCTGAAAGTCTAATTGGTGATGCAGCGGTGGTCTTTTTCCAGAAGGAATTGAGATTGCAAAGATTTGGTAAGCTATGCTGGATCCTTGATGTGAAAGAGCTTCCATTGCATGTCTTTAATATTTTTAAAAGCATATTGGAAGAATTCTGCTCTTTTAGGCCTAAAAGAGTTAAGTCTAAACTTACAGTTACATTTCACATTGCTGGCTTCTAGAATTTTCGACAGATCCTTCTATGTCATTTGAAATAAGATGCATCGTATTTGGGAACACCTTTTACAATTCGACCATTACTCTTTTGCTTTGTCCAATTGAACTGTACTGAACAAGTTCTGATAGATTTTTTCATTCAGGCTGGACAAAGGTGTAATCGTTTACATATGTGATAATCGCGGCGTTCGAGACGTATATGACACAGATGGAGGCAGTGCAATCGCGCCCTCTGAACCCCTTGCTGTGCTGGTATGGTGTCTTACATTTTCCTCTTAAATCCTTTTTTTTTTTTTTTTTGGTTCTAATCCTCTTGATTAATTAAATGTAGTGATAAATTCTTCTTTCATATCTGCAGATATGGTAAATGGGAAACGGTTGTGATGTTTATTTTATTTGGGCTGTCTATAAACATCTCTCCCAATTGAGCAGAAACCAAAACTAATTTTATATTTCCAAAATGCCTAGTCTTTATTAACATGGATCCTTTTCCACTTGTAGTGAAATTTACCATCAGTGTGTTCTGAAAGATTGTTGACTTGGAACTTTCTGAGATTGCTTTAGGTGAACAAGGGAACTGCTAGTGCAAGTGAAATATTAGCGGGTGCACTGAAAGACAATAAGCGTGCGGTGTTACTTGGCGAACCAACCTTTGGAAAGGGGTAATGTATTTCGCTTCAACAGAATAATGCGTGCACTTGATTAACACCATATATACTTCCTCACACGTGCCCTTATATCCCACTTTGCAGCAAGATTCAATCGGTTTTCCAACTCTCTGATGGCTCTGGCATGGCTGTTACCGTTGCTCGCTATGAGACTCCTGCTCACACTGATATTGATAAGGTTTTCTGTCTCTATATATATACCACTGAAAACTATGGTACATTTCACCATTATAGATGACAGTAAGAAACGATTGCAGCCGTTTTTTAAATAAAAAAGATCAGCTTTTTTAGCTGAAAAACTGTTAATGGCTTAGATCTCTTTTTACATCACCTAACGGGTAAAACTGTGGCGCGTGCTTCTTCCTTTTTTTTTTTTAATCTAAAGTTGAGCATTGTTTATATAGGTTGGAGTGATCCCGGACCATCCTCTGCCAACATTATTTCCAAAGGATGAAGAGTCCTTTTGTGGCTGCGTAGAGGATGCTGCATCTGCTTGCTATTTGAACAAAGTCCAGCTATTTTCAAGATAACAACGTCTTTCCTGAAAAAATTACAGGAAGACATTTCCATTCTTTTTTTTATTTTTTATTTTTATTTTTTCCTGGGATTTATAGTTTAGTATTCTTTTGAGGATTTACTGATTTACAAAACGTAAAACTGCTCATATCAGTTGAGCTGAGCAGAGCTCCAGAAAGGAGGAAAAATTGAAGTTTGGCTGCTACATTTGATTCATTATATAACTTATTAAAAAGATTATTTCTAACTATAATTTTTTTATTTTAAAAAATATGCGACATATCTTGATTTTTTTTTAAAAATAAATTGAATTAAGTTATATTTTCTATACATGAAGTTTTGGAATATGCATAATACTTAACTAAATATTTTTCTTAAAAGTTTTAACTGATTTTTCTATTATTTTAGTCTAAATTTTTTCAATATTTGTGCCCCCTGTGAATTCATATCATCTAAGTCACCTTGGGCTTGTTTATTTGTAGTTTTTGAGTTAGGGTTACTTAAGTTCAGATTTTAATTTGAGTTAAGGTGTATTTGAGTATGGTTTGAGTTGAGATTCTAATTTGAGTGTGTTTGGGTGTGCACATTTTGAGTTATGGTTTGAATTGAGAATCTATTTGAGTTTTTATTTGAGTGGATCAAAACTTAAATTTGTATTTGGATATTATTCTAATAAAAACTCAATGGTGATGGAAAATTTTAATAAAGTATATAGATGGGGTTTTATTCGTCTTTTCATTGTTAACGAATATAAAAAAAATTATCTCAGAATTCATTGCCTTTGTTTTTAATACGTGCCATCAAATTTTCTGGAATTGAAGCCAAATGGGTAATAAGTCTATGTTCAGCAATTTGTGTACGTTATTTTTTAATTATATATGAACAAAATAAAGAAAAATCAATATATTTTCATGGTTATAGTAATTCGCTTTCTTTGGCTCTTTTTTCTATTTCATATTCTTCTAGACGAGTCTATTCATGTATGTTCGTTCTCTCTCTGACCCTCTGATAAATAGAACTGAAATTAGAACTGATTTCAAGAAATTTTCTCCATAATTTATAACTTTGTTGTATAATACGCTATATATTACATATATAAAAGAATAAAAAAGTGTACATCGTTATAGTAATTCCCTCATATTTTTTTTTTTATTTTTTTTTAAAAATTGCCCTATTACATAATTCAAGAGGTTATTCGTTTTTTATTTAAGGTAGGGCACTAAGAATTTGGCCTGAACCCGACTAACCCACCCTATCCGAACAAACTCTACCCAAAATTTGTGAGTTTTTTTTTCGGTTTACAATAGGCCCAACCCGCACATTGTGGGTTGGGGCACGGGTAGGCTTCATTTAGCCCGTTACTCCCCAACCCGGCCAAATTACATTCATTTTTATATCACCTGGACCCTAATACCTTATCTCTTTGCACCGCGCAGCCCAATTCCTTAGTCTCTCTCTCTTAGTCTCTCTTACATCTCACTATTCTTTCGCCTCTCGCCTGGCCATTATCTCTGCATGTTTCCGTTGATGTGCTTTCTTCTTTGCCATCCTTTGCGCCATCTCAACCGCTTCAATGGCAGCTTTGCACTTTCTCAGCAGCAGCAAGAGCCGCCTTCTTTGGCCAGCCTCCCTTCCTCAAACTTTCTACTCTCGTCCAGTTTCCATTGGCTCAGCTCTCTAACCTGCAAAATAGCGGCAATTTTGAAAATCTCATTTAAATATATGTATATATATATATATATTTATATATTTATATTATTTTTAAGGTATGAAGTTTACCTTATTCTTGGCTGAGTTTGCATCTTTGCAAACTGAGCTATACATGTCCATGGTTTGCTTCAATTCAAGCTTTAATCTTTTCACCTCAGTCTCTCTCCCTCTCACTTCCTTTGTCGTTCCTCTTTTTCTCCCTCGCGGCCTCAAAACTTCTTCATATTCGCTTTTACTTTTGATTTTGATTTTCGTAGATATATTTTGATTTTGATTTTGTTCACCGAACTAGAAGCACTACTTGAACAAGTTGACAAAGAGAAGAGGCGCCTAGCCTACCCGAGTAACCCAAGCCTACCCGAGGTCACCCGAAAGATTATGGGTTTGACAATTTGTGAGGCCCAAGAGGGTGTTGCTGTAGTGACCCAGAAAATCCCATAATTTAAATAATGTAAATTATGTATTTAAGTTAAGGATTTTTTCTAGAATAAATCATTAAGTAATTAATGATTAGTTTACTACCGTAATTTGTATAATGCAAATTATTATTCACATAATTAGTAATTCCTAAATTAAAAAACGATTTTTTTAATCTAACGAAACTAGAGAATGTACAACTAAAAGTATGTTCTAACGAAATCCTAGCTTTTTATATTCGAGTTTGAACGCGTGCTTAAATGCGACCAAGGATAGCTCATCAAACAACTTGATTAATTAGCAATTTATCAGTTTTCTTGGCAAAATGAGCTTCAACGATGATGGGAAAATTGTCATACTCGAAGATGTCTATGCAGGTTTATGTTTTAATCGTTTTTTCATTAACATAACCACTTTCTGCGACCAAAAGTTTTTTTTTGTCGCAGAAGGTTAGTTTTCTTGTAGTGACCGTCAGCCGCGGAGAGAGAGAGAGGAGATGACAAAATGAAAGGATGGAAAACAAAGGTAAAAGGTTCAACCAATCTTAAAACATTTACTTTTTAATTGTATTTTATAAGTTGGTGACGACGACTTCCCAATATTATAGCATATTGGTAAACTTTTATCAAATACCGCAATATATAGAATATTTTTTAGATGAAAAATACTGCAATATATATTATATTTGGAGAGTAAAATCAGCCAAATTGTCTTCTTTGGAACATTGGCATAGAATTTATATTATCATATATTATTGAACATGTTGATCTTACATACTACAAAACAGTTGTTCTGTAGTGACCCAGAAAATCCCAGAATTTAAATAATGTAAATTATGTATTTAAGTTAAGGATTTTTTCTAGAAAAAAAAAATTATATTATGTATATTTTGTGATTGAAGAATTTATGGAATTTACATTTGTATTCCTAAATTCTGTAACAGATTTCACGTTAAGTTCACGTTTTTCCAATCAAGTAAATTCGATCGATAAATTCTCACCGTACTTTAAAACGGAAGAATTTCCAGTACAGATACAGTATGAGAATCTTAATTTCAAGAATCTCCAAGCACAATACGAACTAGCATCTAGTACACATACTGAAGAAAATAGCTGTCAGTATAATTTTAGACAGTTTTAATGAGTAACTTAAGGGTGTGGATAAAAGTACAAGGGGTAGGTTAGTGTGTGTGATGTGATGATGTGTGATGAGAGAGGTGAATAGGACTCATGACTAGTTTCTCTTCCTTTTTCTCTTCACTTGGCCGGCCATACTTAGGGAATTATAGCCAAAAATTTTGGTTAAATGTTGAGTGTGCTAGAGGATTGATGTGATAGTAGTGGTTAAAAAGAAATCATGACATTTTCTTCCTTCACTCTTTCTCTCACATTGGCCGGCCATCTTCAAGGGGTTTTAAGCAAAATTTTGTTTAGTTAAGTAGACTAAAGGATGTAATAACCTAGTGGTCTATAAATAGAACCAATGTGATCTAAGCCTAACTTTTGCTTTATCTTACTTCCTTCTCCATATCCAAAACCGGTTCTCCAAAGCTCCAACCTTCAAGTTTTCTAAACTTTTCCCTCACCAAAACCAAGCCATCCCTTACCTCACACACACTTAAAAGTTCCCATAAATCTCACCACAAATCCTAGTTTAAGTTGAAGGAGAAAAGGAGGAGTCTAGACAAGCATTTCTCCAAGGGTAAAAACTCTAAAATTCTCTCTTTTTCATGTTTTAGTAAAGTTGGAAATGTAGAAATATTCTTCTCAAATTTCCTTATCCTCTTCTAGTTTCAAGCCGTTAACGAATCTTAGAGGAGATCAAAGGCTTTCAAGAGAGAGAACTCTTTAAGGGTAAGATTCTTAAACTCTTCTCCATTATTTTTCTAGCCAGCCCTAAGCACGAATTCATGATGTAATTTGTGGTTCATGAGGAGATAACTATAATAAGGGTGTGTGAGTTTTATATTGGTTTTGTGAGTTTTGAGGTTAGTTTGATGTGGTATGTTTATGCTTGATCTAAGTTGCTTATTTTCGGATTAGAGGAAAAACTTTCCGGTGACTTTGAACGCGAAAATGAGGACCCTAGAGTGAGATTGTTCGATGTTTCAAAGCTTGAACTTGTAGCCCTTGATGTTTTGAACATTTTCGGTTGCTATGACAAAACCTAATTTTAACTCTAAAACTAAGTTTGAAGCCATTTTGCAAAAATGGACAAGTTGTCCAACACAGTTTCAAAAAAAAAAAAACTGGCAGCTACTGGTTCAGCCAAACGGGACCCTTAGAGGCTGAATCTCGATTTTTCATAAAAGTCACAATTTTAGATTTTGACGAGACGAAGAAATTTTATGAAGAAAAGATTTTCAAAATCCGACCCTAAGAGGTACTAAAACACAGATTTCCGAAACGGCACAGTTTTTGAGTAAAACAGTTGCAAGAAAAACAGCAGCTACTGTTTTTAGCCAAACGAGGCCTTTAGAGGCCGAATTTCAACTTTTACCAAAAATAAAAATTTTAGATCTTGATGAGACGAAGAATTGTCACGAACAACAGAATTTTGAAATCTGACTCTAAGATGCAGTAAAACGCAGATTTCAGAAACTGCACAGTTTTTAACAAGACAAAACTAAAACAATGTCGGTTTCAACAAAAAGTCATAAAAGAACCCGAGATAGAATTTCAGTAAAATACAATGACATTAAACCTCATTTTAATGAAATTATTCGTAAAGAAAGTTTTCAAGAAAAAATGCTCTCTTTAAAGAATATAGTGGTTTATCGAGCGAATTATCCCGACGGGCACCTACGAGCCCAATACGATAGGTCCGTAGAATTTCAAAGATTTAATGTGGGTCCAATGCCCACATTAGTTTAAGAGACTCCATTGGAGTATAAATTTCAGCGGCTTAAAAGTTAGAATGCCATGTATAAGTCCTAGGCCGAATTGGGCCTTAATATCATAACGAGAAAAAAAATTAATTAAGGAAAATAAGATCTCGGGAATTTGACAAAGTGATCCTTATAATCCTTTAGTAAAGGGGAGGAGTATATGCCTTATGGAAAGGGTTAGA